AAATCATTGTAATAAATTTTAACATTAGTTCATTTACTTTTCTGAACAAATCTTTTACCCATATTTTTAAGTTATAAAACAAATTAATAAATCTTTTGAAGTGAGGTTTTTATGTCTTTACACTGGTTTAAATATAGGTCTGTTTCATGTGGACGTATTATGCCGTCGCCCCTGTCCGTCCGGACGTCCGTCCGTCCACAATTGTTTGTGGACTCTCTACAGGTCACAATTCTTATCCGATTTCGACGAAACTTGAAATATAGGTTTATCCCCAAAAGATCTCGGCTGCTTTCGATATTGGCATGTATCGGATCGAAACTTCATGGATTATGGCCCCTGTTTGTACGAAAAATCACATTTTTAGCTTGTGGACCCTATAGAGGTCACAATTTTTATCCGATTTTGTTGAAACTTGAAATGTAAGTTTATAACCCAAAGATCTCAGTTCCTTTCGATATTTGCGCATATCGGACAGTAACTTCCTGAATTATGGCCCCTGATTGTACCAAAAATCACATTTTTACCTTGTGGACCCTATAGAAGTCATAATTTTTATCCGATTTAAAAAAACGTTCTATTATATCACCGTTACACCCTAAGGATGACTGAGTTCGAATTTCGTGAAAATCGGCCCAAAATTGACAGACAAAATGTCCGCCGTTCGTTCCCAAATAGCGTAAGAATATGGTATATCAAGGTTGTGGACCCTATAGGGGTCACAATTTTTATCCGATTTTGTTGAAACTTGAAATGTAGCGTAAGAATATGGTATATCAAGGTTGTGGACCCTATAGGGGTCACAATTTTTATCCGATTTTGTTGAAACTTGAAATGTAAGTTTATAACCCAAAGATCTCGGTTCCTTTCGATATTCGTGCATATCGGACCGTAACTTCCTGAATTATGGCCCCTGATTGTACGAAAAATCACGTTTTTAGCTTGTGGACCCTATAGAAGTCATAATTTTTACCCGATTTAAAAAAACGTATTATTATATCACCGTTACACCCTAGGGACGACTGAATTCGAATTTTGTGAAAATCGGCCCAAAATTGACAGACAAAATGGCCGCCGTTCGTTCTCAAATAGCGTAAGAAAATGGTATATCAAGGTTGTGGACCCTATAGAGGTCACAATTTTTGTTGAAACTTGAAATGTAAGTCTATAACCCAAAGATCTCGGTTCCTTTCAATATTTGCCCATATCTGACCGTAATTACCTGAATTATGGCCCCTGATTGTACAAAAAATTGCGTTTTTAGCTTGTGGATCCTATAGAGGTCATAATTTTTATCCGATTTAAAAAAACGTATTATTATATTACCGTTCCACCCTAAGGACAGTTGAGTTTGAATTTTGTGAAAATCGCCCCAAAATTGACAGACAAAATGGCCGCCGTTTGTTCTCAAATAGCGTAAAAATATGGTATATCAAGGTTGTGGACCCTATAGAGGTCACAATTTTTATCCGATTTTGTTGAAACTTGAAATGTAAGTTTATAACACAAAGATCTCAGTTCCTTTCGATATATGCGCATATCGAATTGTAATTTCCAGAATTATGGCCCTTGATTGTAGGAAAAATCACTTTCTTGTTAGCTTGTTCTCTATCCATCTCTCGAAAATGTGGGCGTATCCTGCCTGGCAGCCGCTGGTTATACGACCACATTGAAAAGTGGTTGTATATTGTCGTCGCTTCCGTTCGTCAGTCAGTAAGGCGTCCACAAGTTTAGAAGCAATGGCCCTTGATCACTTTGAAATATCGAGAGGCTCAAGTTAATGTCTGATTGACTTTAAATTTATACGCACAAAGGTCATGAGACAAAGAAGCCTATTGATTTTCAACGATTTTTGATAATTACTGCCAGAGTTATAGCCCTTGACCTCTTTGGAAAATTTTGTAGAAACTTTTGAGGCTAAAGTTAATATCTGATAATTATTGCCAAGAGTTAAGGCCCTTGATCCCATTGAAAAATCTTGTGGTCACTCTAGAGGCTAAAAATTAATTTCATTCATTCATTCACTCTAGATTGAATAAACAATAAAGTGGGGGACCCTTTGGGACTATATCTTATCGTTAATGCCATCCGGTGCGAATGTTCTTAAAGTGTGATTTCATTGGCTGTTCTAATGGCATCATTTTTGCGATTATCTGGGTTAGTCTTAAAAAGCTCCATAATTTTAATCATAACATTTCGTATGTCCTTTTAAATTGAAATGTATTGCGGCCGGTTTTGGCCTGTTGTGCTTGTGTCTAATGCCTGCATAGTGTTCCTTTATTCTTTTTGAAAAGGCACATTTGCTTTTTTTCTACATATTGTTTTTTTACAAAGAGAGTAGGTTAATAGTCTAGTCAAACAATTATAACCAGAGCGACAAGAAAATAACTGTAATAAACTAGTTATTTTGGTCTAAATTATTACAAATATCACAATCTTTCTTGATACATTTTTAAAATAAATTTTGGAACTTAACTCTGTTCGTTTGCTGATTCCTCAGTGGGTATATAAGTCCCGCTTTCATGAGACAAACAAATAAAAACAAATTCTAATCTTTTCTGATAATTACTTCATGGGTTATTACTGATAATCAGATTTTCATGTGTTGTAATGTTCTCATTACTGACAAGAAAAAATATGCAACAACACCTGTTGACTGCCCGGACGACTTAGCTGCTGTGAGCGTATGTTTCATTGCCTGGCAACCTATCTTTGAATTAAATCATTAAAAAGATGAACCGTTCTAATCTACTTAAAATGGGAGCCATCCGATGCCCTAGAGAGTTGATTATGGTATTGTCATGTTAATAACAATTAAGGCCTAAAGACAGACCTGCAATAGGCACATTAGTTCTTGAATAATGTATCTTTAATGTTGCTTAAAATGAGGATGTAATACTTATTTGGTGACAGATGTATGTGGTATTGAATAAGTCACAAGAAGAAAAATACAGACTATACAAGTAATAAAGTAGTTGATCAAATCTACATTTTATAATCTTTCTAAAATTATTCATATCAAAACCTGTTAACATATGTTAGATAGTGAAATTGTGCAAGCTTCACATTCAAACTGAAGGTGTAAAAGATTATAGAATAGATCCCAGATATATTTTCAATAAATAAAACATTTTAATTCTGTTTGATATTCTCTTAGAACCCTTTATTTTAGTCATAGACAACTGAACATTTTCAAAGAAATAACAATGTCTAGTTGTCATTGGGGTGTTTTGCAATCATTTCCAAACTGCTCAGTATGTTGCATGAAACTTTCAGACATGGTAAATAGGCTGGAGGGTTTTTTTTTTCATTTTTAAACACACTTTTTTTTTTAGGGGGGAACCATATTGCTTATTACATAAACTTTCTTTTGAAGTGAGATAGTTAATTAACAAATTTCCAATGTGAGTTTTAAAGTAATTTTCAAGTAGTCAGTATTCTGAGATGAAAATTGGATATTTTTAATATCTGTTTTTTTTTGTTTTTGTTTTTTTTTAAATGTTCTTATGTTGTAAAATCTGTGACTGCTTCTTTAAATGAATAGATGACCTTGAAAACAACTTAGTAATGTATTCGATCACAATATAATATTGTAAGTGTGACAACAGGATATAAAGCCATTCAACTGTATAAACTTTCTTGTGAAATAAGTCTTCAAAAATATTTTGATTGTGAAGATCTGGCACTTGATATGGTTGGAAACTTAGGATGAAGTATCTATCTGGTATAAAATAGGTTAACTTTATTTTTTAGAATACAGATTTTTTGTGTTCAAATACCTAGTATCATGGTCATTAGGTGGCACAGGTAGTCTGATTACTGTATTCAGATTACTTCTGTGAAACAGTAAAACCTGGCAATTGAGCCAAGCTAACGGACAAATGCTGCAAAACATGTATCTTGTCTTCTTTGATTGGCATTTAGTAATTGAACATATTAACACAAGGTACAATTTTATGGATACACAATTACTGAGTTATTAAGCAACGTTTGTCATATAATCTTTATTTTGAGTTTGAGCACTCACAATTCCCAAATACACTTACTCTTTGTTTCAATATTTCCACGTAATCTTATTTGAACATGTCCAAAGGAACTGTTGTAGTCTTATCAAGTCAAGTTTGGAATCAAATATTTTACTGATGGCTTTTTAAAAACTATAATAGGAGAACTAAATAGCTTTAAGTTAATAGATTATCTTATTTGATCCATATTTTCATTTGTCAAATAAGCTTTCTATATGAAAATCTTTTAAATAATTAATATATGCAAAGTAGTCAAAAAAGAAACAAATCCTCCAAATCTTTTTAACAAAATAGAATCATTTGGAATTAATGAGGACACAAATTAATAAATTGAACTAGGATGGGAGACAACTCCTCAATGAGTAATCAGTAATCATGCTTAAAGAATATTGTTGGCTTCAAGAATCATCAAGCTTAAAAGTCGTACAGTCTTGTCTCTGATATCCATCCAATGAAACATCACCTAATTATTTTTTATATAAGAAAAGATGTGACTGCAAAAGAACAGGACCAAAATATAACAAATTAGACATATATATGTATTAATTACACACTTACATGTATGGTAGACATTGAACTTTCATTGAAGTAATTTTAGAATAACAAAATACAAAAAAAAAAAAAAAAATGAATATACATAAATATCACTAAATGATATATTTTATACCTCTGTATAAAGGAGTGTGGGCAGAAAGTGTTGCACTTTTTTTTTTCTGTTCTCCTAGAAATAGTTACCACTTTTTAGACCAGTAACTGGGTCCCAAGGTCTACTCATCTTGTTGTTGTTGTTGGGGGTGACGCTGTTCTGACAAAGTCGAAGGCTCAGACAATTCAAGTATGATCACCATAAAGGACTTTGATACTATATAATGCCACACTTCAAAGATGGCTGCGATGACTCTATGCTTGGTTCCTTGTCCATATAGTATGTTTGTACTTGTTTCAATTATTTTATTTAAATATTTGTTTTATTTATAGATGTATTGATGGCCTGAAATGAGTGAAACCAGCATTGTCTGTATGAAAAATCCAATCACCATGGATCCTGGGCCATTGGATGGGAAGAGATCCATTTCCCCCGATCCAGAAACAGATCAAGAGGTAAAAGTAATGATTTTAACACAAAAATATAATCAAACTTTTTTTTTGTTTTCTTCTATTTTAACAATCTTTTTTATAAATCTCATATTTATAGGAGCTAAATCGCTAATATTTGGGACCTGGAAATTGACACAAATGGTTCCCAAAGCGTATAATAATGTAATATGAATGTATATAAACTGATTGACATTCAATCGTTTCCGTTTTACTCTAATTTCAAATCAGTTATGTTCGGCGAAATACGCCAGAAGTCTCAATCAAATGGCAATCTCTAGCGTCTGGTTATTCCAATTTACACCGGTAGTATTTATTGCGCATGCTCTCCAGAATATGACGTCACCGTTTGACATGACTTATGGAATATATCTAGCCTCGTTCTTTGGGTCCCTTGTTACAAATGGCGCCGAAACACATCATAGTACACGATTCGTACTTTGTCTTAAATATCGGATATCAGAAGCCCATCTTTTCCTGGTAAGATCACAACATCAATGTTGATTTAAATTGACAAATAATTTGTGTTTTGTATGGCCTTATTATTCAGATATCCAGAGAGCAATGTGATAATATTACATCTATACATGTTGACGAAATATTGCAGATTTATTCTTTTTGCCGTAAAACCTTCCTCCTTATCTGAAGTCTAGAAAATAAGATGAAGTCTGATTGGGGTTTTTTTTTTGTAATTTTTAAATTTTTATAAAACTACTAAAGATAGTATTAAAATACTATCTTTAGTGGTTTTATTGTTCTAGTATGTTCTGCTTTCTCATGTATGATTAAATTGTATTTATTTTTGTCATACCACTTTGAATGATTTTATACTATTGTATGATTTTTATATGTCAACATTATGAATGTGGACGTATTATGGCATCGCCCCTGTATGTGTGTCTGTGGGTCACCAACAGCGCACAGTTTTATTCTTTATAGATTGTCTTGAAACAGTGTGCGTTTACTTTGCCGACTTCGTAAGGCGACAGTTACAGAAAAGAAACTTTTTTTTTTACCTTCATCTATATATAAGTCGATGTGGAGTATAAGATGGAAGACCCAACTTCCGCAGAAAAAAAAGTATCAACTTATACCCCCCAAAAATGTGGTAGTTTTATTAGCAAATTTTTTAAAAATTATTAGAGCCCAATTGTTTAGTTTTTGTCAGAATGAAAATATCAGTCGTCGTTGTTTGTATTTTAGAGGAGAGCCGAAAAAAGCTCCCCTTAATCAACAAATTAAAAAAATCGCTCCCCTAAAAAAGCTCTCCCAGTTTCAATAAGAAGAGGGATTTAGAAATTAAGGAGAGTGATTTGATATCAAGGAGAGTGATTAATTGTGTGTATGGGAAATGGTTCTGAAGATCAATAACTGTTAGGTCATTCCTGGATTCATAAATGATAATAAACCCCCCATGACTTTGTAAAGGAGAGCTATTTTTAATTTTGCGGAGAGGGAGAAAAAGCTCCCCTTGGTCGACATTCAGGTGAGAGCGATCGCTCGCCTTAAAAAACAATGACTGAAATATGAAATGGAATGACATTACTGAATATTTATTTATTAATCCTTTTAAAACTATTTAAAAAAAAAAAGAGAAGGGAACTAGAATTTTGTTTTGTTTGTTGACAGTAAATGAATTTGTACTTAGTCCATGATTAGTCATTGATTTTATTTAAATTTAATCTGTCTGATGTAAATGTTACTGAATGCTTGATTAGCCTTCTCCATTTCACCGGAGATAAACAATCGTCTTAATTACCTTTGTGCTGATAACATTATTTCTAAATTTGGTCCTATAAAAAGTCTTCATTTTCTGGACCCAATCTGGTTATTTGTGTGTCCAAGTTTCATGTTACCAAAGATCTTACAATAATCGGCCACATTTCTGTGACTTCCTAATCCCCTCTTTATTTACAGCCAATCAAATTGCCTGTAGGTCTATTCAGACTATTCTGCTGCATGATCATGTTGGTATAGCTGTATGTTAGCCACGATAAAAATACATAAATTTCCAAGAACTGTCACATCAGAGGAAAAGTTAATAAGCCCTGGACCTGTTCTAACTTTTGTTCATTAAACTTGACTGGCTTTGGTCATCACTGACACAATGATCTATTGTATGGACTCCTCGAATATTTTTGGTTTATTTTATACATATTAATAAAATGAAATGAAATGAAATGGGGTTTAACGTCCTACTGTTCTGCTCCTATACTGGGCTAATGAAGACGGGCATATGCCATACAGTGTGCTGTGAGGGAAATTTTGCCCGGGCAGCGGCACTATCGCCTACTCTTATATCGAATTCCAACTGCCAGGGGATCTTTTACGTGCATTCCAATATATACACGGGACCTTGGTTTTTCGTCTCATCCGAAGGACTAGGCAGCAGTCCTTGTCAGGCCCTCCGTCCTGCATCAATAACAAGGGGGAACCACGCCGAAAAAATCTGGATGAACTTTCTCGGCCGATGCAGGGATCGAACACCCGACCTCCAGGCTAGCGAGCCAGCGCCTTACCCAATTAGCCACGTGATCTCCTATATACATACTAATACTAATAACACCAAGACTTTCAATAAGGCAGGTTTAAGTCTTTGACCTGGTTCTGTTTGCATTAATTTCTTATGGAACGGTATACCAGGCTGCATGACATCCTCTATGAAATATTTAGGTAAAATTCTATGAGATGACACCAACATGTTGGCGACTTTTTCTAAAAATGGATTAAGTGAAGCAAGAGGATTCTGGTTTTCTAATGATTTTCTAAGTTTATCTTTTGGTCATTGTTTTGAATACCTAAATAGGTTAATTGATACATGTATGTAATTCTAGAATGAAGTCAATCCTGTGTCAACAATTCAGTTAGGAGATAACCCTGTGCATATTTTAAAAGGGGAGTTAACTCTTGAGCGCTTATTGTAAATGATCACCATCTTCTTCAAAATTGTTAATTACACTAGAGATAACACAATATGTCAGGGTGTGAACCATGTGCATCATCATGCATTGCTCATAGACTTCATAAAAAGATTAAAAACCTACCCATAACTCACTCTATTATTAGGTCTAATATGCAATAGACAAAACCATGCTAATAAGAAAAACTATTAACCTAATAAATTCTAAAAGATGACATCGAACATACATGTACTTCCATATTTTAAACTTCTACCATCCAAACAAATTGAATGAATAAATGTGAAAGCATTTATCCTGGTAAGTATTTTCTACAAGCCTGTCATAAAATGTGAAATTGACCAAGCGATTCTAGTTCTATTTCCAAAATGATTTTGGACTGAAATTCACATAGTTGAAATTAAAAACAAAAAACCTTATAATTTACTGAAGGTTACAAATTTAATTTTAAACAAGATAGACATTTTTTTTGTGTGAATTGACCCCTCTTTTTTGTCTTCCTGAGTTAATTTAATAAATTCCTCTTCCTTGTTTGATCTTGAATATGATCTTTTAATGAAATCATCTGTCAAGTTGCGCGTAAATTACATATTTATGTTTATATCCGGGGTAATATAATCCACAAGATTATGTTTCCCAGCTAAAATGACCTGAAATGATATTAAATTGGCTTTAGTTACGCTTAGTTATTTTTCACAATTAAATTGTCCTCTATCTGACTGGCAGTTCTTTTAACATGGAGTGCAAATATAAAAGCTAGAGTTATTGGAAAATCTATTTTATCGTTCTGTTAAGTAAGTCTTATGACGACTTTCTGACGCCTTTTTTTTTTTTTTATTAGTGAACGTTTCTTTCCAAAAATCTGTACTGTTGCTGGAAAAAAACAAAAGAATAGGCATTAATTTTTGGTTAACATGAAGGCCTATATACATTGTGAAAACTAAAATACATATTGTGGTTTAGTTGGAAAATAAGACCCTGGACTGGGTATCATCAACAGTTTTAACATTTGTATTATAATGTAATAATTTTATTGGTGGTAATCCCAATAGATTAAACCAAATTAGAGATTAATGATCTTGATTCTTTGTAGCAGACTAGACCATGTTATTCTAGAAAATTGTAATTGATTTACTCAATAAATCAAATTTAGAGTTTACAATAAAAAAGTTTTTGTTGATGCATGAAAGGAAAAAAGGCTTTGTTGATGTTTTAAATCATCAAAGAATAAGATTTATTATGATATTTTATATTGATACAAATAGTTTATAAAAACAATAAATTGTTTACAATTTCTTTGCCCATATGTTTTTACATTCACAGTAGTTGAAAGGATTAACTGCACAATGATCAGATTAACCATCAAGATATTCCCATATCTTTTTTTAATCCTTGAATCTCTTAAAGCTATACATTAAAAATATAAATCATTGATAAATATCTTGCTTTCTTAAAAAAGACATTAAACATAACAAAAACACCTCAAATTATCTTTTTGCAACTCCCCATTACAATATGAAACCCCCATTTAAAAAAGTCTGTCTTGCAGACAATGTATATTATTGTTTCATGCCGCAGCATTAATCTACCCGAACTGTTAAAGACTGTTAATCATTATAAAAGCCTTTTTAAAACCCGATAGATTTCGTTGATAAATAACTGATTGACACTTTCCTCCTGTAGGGAGTCTCTGCTGACTGTCAAGATTTGATATTACTAATTTCATGTAAGTTGATTCTTACCAACACTGCTAGTATTTCACCAACTTATCTAATGCAACAAATTATATGGTACATCTCCAATGTCCTGTTTTCATACAAGAATTGGGGGTCGTTCATGAAATTTGGCTCAAACATAATTGTGTTAAGCATAATTATAATAAAATGCCACATTTAAAAATATAGTGTAAAAAAAAAATAAAAAATTTTGAAATCAATATATTTCTTTTCACTGCAACTCATTTGAGAGAAATCTTTTTAAAATTGGAAATATTCTGTAATATGGCCTTCAGACAAAACTTCCATGAATATATTCTAAAAGGTAACTTACCATGACTAGTAAAATTATTATTACCTGTACAATTTGTCC